TATGACATATGCAGGATATCCAGTAAACTTACATATGAAGGTAAATTCGCTTTTTGCTCTCTGTGGATATTGAACTAAGGATATACGTTTGGTGACCTGGGAGCACTACCTATTGTGCTATTGGCCCACAGGTCTATATGAAGGTAAATTCGCTTTTTGCTCTCTGTAAATATTGAACTAAGGATATACGTTTGGTGACCTGGGAGCACTACCTATTGTGCTATTGATCCACAGGTCTTAAATTGAATTTATTTTTTTATTTATAAAAATTCAAATATAATTAAAAAAACAATAAAAAATAAAAACTTTAAAAAAATAAAATATTGTTTTTTTGTTGTATAAAGTAAAAAAGAATAATAAAGTTTTAAAAAAAAATATATAAAAATAGACAAAAAAAATTTTTTTTAAAAAAGGTTATTAAGTTTTATTTTAATAAAACAAATATAATAAAAAATATTTTATTTGTTATTATTATTATTTTTATACTTGAAACTTTTATATTTCTAGTTTTGATCAAAAGTTAATTTTTTTATATTCCAAAAAAAAATATTTTTTTATATATTAAAACTGTTTATTAATTTTTAGTTTTTAATATATTATTTAAAAAAAAGTATTATTATTATTATTATTATTATTATATTATAATACTATTTTTAATATTTATATTTTTATATAATATAATTTTTATTTTTATTTCTTTTAAAATTTCTTTTATATATTATATAAGTTGTTTAAATAATAAATTTAAAGTTTATATATATATTTTTAATTGAAATTAGTTTGTTTATATTAAAAAATTAAATATACTATATATAGATATTATCAGCAAAAATAAAAATACTTTTATAATAAAATTAATAATTTGATTTTATAAATCATTTATTTATTTATTAGTTTTTAAATAAAAATCAAAAAAAGTTTTTTATTCCTATTTTACAAATTTATATATTAAAATAATTTTATTTATTTTTTATAATTTATGATATATAATGAAATTTTAAAATATATTTTTAAAATATATTTTTAATTTTGAGTTAACATTTAATTACATTCTTATAATATATTTAAAAAAATTTTTTTAAAAAATTTTGTTTTTTAGATTTTTAAATAAATTAATATATATATATTTAAAATTTTTATTATATTTTATTAATTGATTATTAATTTATGAATAAAATTAAATATTGAATCTTCAGAAATTTTTGCATTAAATTGTATATATTAAAAAATATTTTTTTAATTATATTTTTAATAATAACATTATATAATATATTATATATGTAATAAAAAATTTAAACATTATATTTATTTAAAATATAATATTTAAAGATTATTATTTTCTATTAAATAAATAAATAAATATTTATATTTAAATGTTATATATAGTATATACTATATGTATATATTATAAGAAAGATGATATTTACTTGATATTTAAATAATAAAAGTATTCAAATATTTTTGTATTTACATGTATCAAATTATAATAAGTTAAAAATCAAATGATTTTTTTTTTTAAAAAAAAATTCTATATTGCATAGATATATGTATTGTATGTACTATAGTATATGATTATTTACGTTATGTTCAATGCGCATTATTAAAAAATTTTAAAATAATTATTATATTATTGACGTTATATTAATTATTACATAATTATGAAATAACTAATTATATTAATCATTTTATTGTGTATGATAAAATATTTCGTTTTAACGAGTAATTTGTTCTAAGTCAGATGTGCAAATATGAATGTACATACGCGCTATGGGTCTTTCTTTCGATTCTTTCTTGTAAGAAATTGGTCAAGTATCATTGGTATAAAATTTTATTATTGAAAGCATGGCTATCATGTGAACAGTCATTTGATCACTAAGTAATGCAATTAATGTTTCTCCGTTACAGGGTTTTTACATCTAGGAAATTACCTACTTTCACATGAGATGCAAAATTGTGTGAAGCAGTTTTAGATTTATAACATAATCCTTTATTGGATCTAGTGCAACTTATTTTATAACTTACTAAAGAGAATTCCAATTCCAAAGTTAACGAGCAACTTTGTCTATCCAGATTGTCGGGGAGAAAGAATGATTTTTTTTCTTTTTTTGTAAATGTATCGAAATTACTCGTCTCTGGTAGACGATCGCGAACACGGGTACAATATTGGTAATATCTTTCATTTGCCTTTCCGTCGGCAAGAAAGATCGGGGCGTCTCTGCAATATGCGGTTGTACGAAAGGGACATGTAAAGAACGCCCTTCCCCGATGATTTAATTATAATAAAGGCATATCGCAAACTGATAATCAAGTTATTCCTCATATATATATATAGTTGATTCAGATAAGATACATACTTCAAAGATAAGATTAAAATAACCAATTTCATCATAAAGAGAATAAGGAAAATCTATGTCTGTCTTTGACGATCATTGTGTAATTATGTAAACGTCATAAAATGTAGACTAAATGAACGTATCGGGTGATTTTTTCACCGTGAAAAGGATAACCAACCAAATAGAAAAAAAGTCAATAACAGGCAGGTCACATGTCACATGAGGTAAATATTTCGCAAATATTTCTTTTTTTGGTCGCATGTAGTCCCCGTGTAGAACATAATTAAAGCCACAACTCAGACGTTTTACCAAGTATAAACAAAAAAAAGTTTTATAAAACGTTCGTTTTCTCGAATTCATTTGAACAAATTTTTTCAACTCGAAAAATCAAATTCAGTTCCTTATAAATAATTTTAACAAAAAAGAAACTATTATTAATAACTTTCTTTCCTTGGTCAGGCTATTATTGATCACCATACCATATTCTGTCAGGGACTCCAAACACTCCAACACACCAAGTCGAGATGCCGTCACACTATGTCTATGCTTTTTTCCTCATATTATGTGCTCCAATAACTCTTTTGATATTTGCTTCTTTTACTTCTATGGCAATAATAACTTCCGCACTGGCTACACTGGCTATAGCCGTCCGTCTTGGTTTTCTTGCGATAGAGTTTTCTGGTGGTGTCGCACTAGATTTTATCCGGTGGGGTCTGAAGAAACTAGTGACAGACAGTTACCAAGTCAAAAAAGTCAAAAGCAGCAGAAGCAAGTCACATAACCATGAGTCATCGAATACAAAGTTATCATCTCAAGAGAAAAAACATCATAAAACCAGTCATAATGCTCATCACAAGAACAATAACACAAAACATCATTCAAAAACATTTAACGAAAGTGAGCCTGCGTGATGGAAATGAGTTTGAAGATGATTTTGACACGAAAAACAAATTTGTCAGCAATGATGATTATTTCATGTTATCAACAGTGTCTAACTTGAGACCAAAAGGAAAAAGAGCTAAAAGCTGTGTATAGTTGAATTAAACATTTTCAGACAAATAATATGAATATTTCATTAGAATTTTCCCTCAACATACATTCTTCTAAACACATCTTGTAAAATATTGCATTTTCTTTGATTTGTATTTTTTTTTTTTTCTTTTTTCATTGTTCATAATAGATATAAATTATGTAATTTTGGATGCAAATAAAAAGTACTTAATAATGAATTTATTCATATCGATTTAACATATGCATTCTTGTGTTTTGGCTACAACTCGTACACAAAAAATATTTTTTTTTTTCAAACACAAAAAATGTGCGCCACGTTAGACGAAAAATTTTTTTTTCAAGACCGGGAAGCTCTTATCTTCACGTGACATTTTTGGAATTGTACCTGAATATTCGATTTTTCATAATTCGATATTATGTAATCTGTCATTTTTTTTTTGGAATCTCGGCATATTATGATTATCAAAGTTGGGTTTGTAGCATTTTCCAGAATTGTATATTTTTTCTTTTTAAGTCCGTATACATGCAAACGTATTGACAATTCAATTTTTTATTTATTTACTGTATAAAAATTAAAAATAAATTTAGACTAAATGTAAAATAAAATTTCGGTATATATAATTTTATTTAAAATTTTAATTTTTATTTAATTTTTCATTAATATCAAATATCATAAAGTTATTATACTTGAAGTTTCATAAAGTCTCTTAATAAACAATATCATAAATGATTTTTTTAACTTTTTAATATTATATTAAAAAATATCATAAAATAATAATTCTTGTTTTATTATTTTTATAAATTTTAAAATAATTGAAAATACAATTAAACTTAAAATATAAAAATTATTTAAAAATTGATATAATAAACAAATTTGTTATATTTAAATTTAATTATAATTAAAAACATATTATTTATTTTTACAAAAACATTTTATAAAATAAAAGTTTTTTAATAATAATAAAATAATAATATTTTTATTAAACTTTAAAATATTTATGTATATATAGTTAAGAACATTATTATTATTTTTATAAAATCAAAATCCAATTTATAATTCTTTTATTAAAAGATTTAATGAAATTTTATTTTTTATAAAATTTTTTTACACTTTATCTTGGTATCTAATTCGAATCCAAAAAAAAACTTCTTATTAAATAATTAAATAAACAAGAAAAAATGTCTTTTTAGTATATAGCATTGATACAATTGCAATTTTACATTTTAATTATTATTATTACAAAGTAAAATATGAATTATTATTATAGAATCTAATCTTATTAAACTTTTTCATACTTAGAACAATGCCAATATTTTTTATACAGTATAATCAATATTTGTTAAGCACAAATACAATACATATAGTATATATTTTTTCTTTATAGAGTCACTTGTCAGTATTGCTCATCAATTCCTACATCCACATGTGGATAGTGGGCTCTGTTTACATCTCTGTCTGTAACCGCATGACAGTTTCCGCCTTTATAAACTTTTCTTCCGCCGATGTTTTGTATGTTCCTACAATAGCTGCAGGTCTTGGAGGTGTATGCCTCATCCTGGATAATTACCATCACGCCTGTTTCCTCGGCCTTATGTTTCAGCCGCTGCCAGAATGCATAATGTGACCAGGTGAACATGCCATCACCAAGGATCGCCTTATGCTGGTACGTAGGGGTCATGTCGCTTGCAATACCAAAGGTACTTGTGGGCACGACAGGCACGACAGGCACGACAATTATTTGACTTCCTTCTTCCCGCTTTCAATATGGTAAGTTATTAATTATGCTGCGAGTACAATTGGTTAAAGGTTTTTACTAACTTACAATCCCTATTCTAATCCTACTTCTATTTATATTAGCTGCGACGCGTCCACCAATCTAACGTCGCGTCATGCAAATCTTCAACAGACTCCCTAAACTTTCCTCCCCATATGATGCATGATCTGATACATCGCGCCATGTCACATGACCCGCACCGGTCCGCCCCTCCTTCCATTTCTCCTGCTGGTTAAATTTTATTATAATAAAATCCACTGCCAATTTAATTACAGTTTATAAATTTTTTTAGAATAAAACAATTTTACGCAACTTTTTTTTCAATGTACATTTTAAATTATTAATGTTAAAGAAATCTTTACTGCGAACGAAAAGTTTTAAAGAATATCCATTTTTGCACTTGACCCTTTAAGATTATTGTGCAAACTTTTATTTTTCTCCAACCAACTGGCTGGAATTTTCCACTTGTCAGCAAATTCGTTTGCATCCTTTATCCTTCTTTTCTTGACCATGGTCTTATGTATAGTTGCGAGGATATAATCTGACGGAGTTAAATTGTATTTTTCTTTTGTAGTTTCCAAAAGTTCACAAGAAGCCCTTGTTTTTCCCTTGTTGCACAAACATCTTATTAAACGACGGAGTACGTGAATATCTGGCTTGATATTATAAGAAACCATTTCATTAAAATACTGTTGCCCTCTTTGTATGTTTGACTGATTACAAGAGTTGCGAATGAGAATGTTGAACAATTGAATGTCCGGCTTATCATAAAATTTTAGGATTCTATAACAATTGTCCATCGCTGACAAGTCTCCTTTGTAACCATACGCACTAATCATTGACCTTAGTGCTCGAACGATGGCCCATACATGATACCTCAATTCCCAATGTGATGAAGCGTCCAAATTTTTTTGTAAATCAAATTTAGCGTCGAGAATCTTCTGAGCAGCTTCGAAGTTTTGCGTATAGCAATGCAAACGTACCAATAGCGAATAGGTTGTCAAATTAGCTTTCAACCCGCTTTTCTTAAGTTTCTCCACAATGTAATTTGCTTTTTTCAAGAGAGGTTTCTCTCGATGCAGACAGGAGGCCAAGTAAGAATTATACATATATATGGTGGGTGTAATTCCTCGTCTCGAGGATTCTACCCAAAGGTCTTCACAGATCTTGCTATATCTTATCCTGCTGAAAACATTTAGCATGTGTGTATAATCTATTATATTTGGCTGGTGTCCGGCTAGTTTCATATGTCTGAAAATGTAATGGAGCTTGAAAGTAAAAAGTTTCATGTTTAACGGGTTTTTTGGCAATTTTCTAATATCGTAGAACTTTAGTACTATGGAATGTTGAATAGGTGATAGTAGATGAAGTTTTCTCGCGTTGTTGAGGTCTCGATAAATATTCCAGGCATCTAACTTCTTATTTAATTGAATCGCGTGGAGAAGAGGCATGACTTCCTTGGGCGTGACAAATTCCAAAGGGAGATCAGTTGAAATTTCTTCGGGGGGTTCATATAGAAAAGAACGGAGACTTATCGAACTTGTGTAGCATTTTCGCGACTCATTATTTAGCAACGAGGAACTAACTTTGAAAACATTACATACGGAATTGCGACGCGGTAGCGTTAAGAAATGAAGTTTACGCATTTTACACTACGAAGAACATTTTTTGCATCTTATAAATAATTTAATCACTGATTGGTTATAAATAAAGATCGCCTACTAAAAATGTATTAGATTAATTAGCAGTTCAAAAATTGCTGGTCTAGCAGTTATCGTCACCATATATCAACTACTTTAAAATGTCGGACGCTAAATACTTTCAGAGAGGTCTGCCAGACTATTCCCAAAAATTGTTTGTGAAGTTAGACGCTAGATCATGTCCTTCCCGAATATTCCAATAACCTTATCTTTTCTTTTACGATGATCTTGTTACAATCAAGGAAAAATCCACGAACTTCGTACAGAGTTGAACTCGGAAAAAAAAGACAAGCAACATTCGAAGAAGAAGATAGTACTTAAGAAGATCGTAGCCAACATGACAATGGGTAACGACATGTCTCCCTTGTTTCAAGATGTAATCAATTGCATGAAGATCCCCGTATTAGAGATCAAAAAAATGGTATACCTTTATTTAATCAATTATTCGAGAACGAAGCCAGACATAGCGGTTATGTCAATACCTACGTTTACGAGGGTAATGTAACAACTTTTCTTTAAGTTGAGTTTCCGAAAAACTATAGATGTCAAACGTTTCTAGGTTTTTACAGGACGCCGCGGATCCTAATCCATTGATACGTGCATTGGCAATTAGGACTATGGGATACATTAATGTTGACAAGATAGTTGATGCTTTAGTTGACCCTTTACGACATTGTTTACGTGATCAGGACCCGTACGTTCGTAAAACGGCCGCAATTACAGTTGCAAAGTTATACATGCATGATAAGGAGCTCGTTGAAAAAGAAGGCTTTATAGATTTACTGAAAGATTTACTCGCCGATCCCAATCCTACGGTAAATAAATAAATAAATAAATAAATGTTTACCCCATATTTTATTAAATGAGTTTTAAAATTTTTAGGTTGTCGCAAATGCTGTTGCAGCATTGACTGAAATATCTGAAAGGTCTGACAATATATCATTAAAACTAAACATGACAATTTCCAATAAGTTGGTCGCCGCTCTAAATGAGTGTTCGGAGTACGTATAGAAGAATATTTTTATTGAAAGTTTGAATTATTTTATTAAAAAATAAAATTCTTTTCCTCAGATGGGGTCAAACATATATATTGGAAGCACTAATGGCGTTCGTGCCTCAAGAATTTGGTGACGCAGAAACGTTGTGTGAACGTGTTGCCCCGCGGTTGCAGCATGCAAATTCTAGCGTCGTTCTTACCGCTGCTAAAGTGATAATGTACCTGATGAATTATATGACCAAAGAAGAGGACATAAATAATATGTGTAAAAAATTATCGCCTCCATTAGGTAGATTTTTGAAAACCTATTTCAAAATGTGGGATTTTTTAGGGATGTATAATGAATCAATCCGACTGATTTTTCTTTTTTTTCGCTATTGTAGTTACTCTTCTTTCAAGTGGGCCCGAAGTCCAATATGTAGCTCTTCGTAACATCCTTCTGATCATCCAAAAAAGGCCTGAAGTTCTAAGAAATGATATCAAAGTTTTCTTTTGTAAATACAACGATCCTATTTACGTCAAACTGGCCAAACTTGAAATCATGTTTCGTTTAGCTAATGCAGTTAACGTGGACCAGGTTTTATCGGAATTGAAAGAGTAAATATTTTACAATCTCCGTGATATTGAGAATGTTTCGATCTATTGAACGCATAAATTAAACTAATTTGATTCAAAATTTGACAGGTATGCGACAGAAATCGACGTTGACTTTGTGAGGAAATCCGTGCGATCGATTGGTCGTTTGGCGGTTAAAATAGAATCGACAGCTGATCGCTGTATATCAGCATTGTTGGAACTCATACAGACGAAGGTTAATTATGTCGTGCAAGAGGCTATCGTTGTAATAAAGGTATTTTATTGGAAAAATAATAAAAACCAAATTTTACGCGCATTCATCTGACGTCATATTTATATTTTATAAGGATATATTCAGGAAATATCCGAACCAATATGAGAGTATAATTGGAACCCTTTGTGAAAACTTGGATAATCTGGATGAACCGGAAGCAAAGGCTGCAATGATATGGATCATTGGTCAGTACGCCGATCGTATTGAAAATTCGGACGAATTATTAGACGACTTTCTTTTCACTTTCCTTGAGGAACCCGTTGAGGTATTTTCTACTATATTGTTCCAATGTTTGATGTTTTAATCGAGGAAATTGACTGTTCTCATCATTTCATAAATGTTTTAGGTTCAGCTATCGTTATTGACAGCTACTGTTAAATTGTTTATAAAAAGGCCCACTGCTGGGCAAGAATTAGTTCCTAAGGTTTTGAAGTGGGCAACGGAAGATGTCGATAATCCTGATCTGCGTGATCGAGGATATATTTATTGGCGGTTGTTATCCACTGACCCTACTGCTGCTAAGGTATATATATATGTATATTTATTTAAAACAAGGATATGGGGTAAACATGACGAATTCTATATTAACTTTACGTTTGTAAAGGCCGTTGTTTTATCCGACAAACCACATATAACTACCGAAAGTGATAATATGGAACCTGTTCTATTGGACGAACTTCTTTTACATATCTCCAGTCTTGCATCGATATATCATAAAGCTCCACAAACATTTATTCACCATTCTAAACCTAGATTTTTGACACCGTCACCAGTATTAAATAATAGACACCCTGGACAAAGACAAAATCTTGATTCAAACTTTGGTGATTTGTTATCAGGGTAAGTTCAGATCAAGTATCCTACTTATATTAATGATCAATGTTTTAATAATATTCAATCAAATGTGTTAATAGGTCTATTGGAACTTTTGAATCAAATCCATATAATGTGAACGCCGTAAACTTTAATGATCATATAGTTGAGAACTTGCTTTTGGATTTATAATATAGTCACTAAACTTATTTAATTTGCATTATCTGCAATTATTTGATTGATAGTTATATTTAATATAAAAGTAATGTACAGTATTTGATTTTTGGATAGATATAGATAATCTTTTTACGCGTAAGATTTATAAAATTTAATGAGGATATTAATTTATTATATGGTTAAACCACGCAAATAGATTCCCTCTAATTTCTCTTAAAGTTCCTGTATGTATCCTCCAAATCAATCTTCAAGGACATTATACGTATAGGTGTACCGTCTCCACAGGAGAAATTTGCTTGTTGGAGTGCATACAGTGTTTGAATTCATCTTATACATGAAAATCAATCGTGTACATCTTGATGTATTGAAAAGCAATTTATGAAAATAAAATTCATCTATACTTAAATTTCAATTAATGACCGTACTGCACTAACAAGGTTGTCAATGAACCAAAAGAACTAGAAATTTTAACATTGTATTTCTCATTCTTTATTTCCATCGTTCTTTTGCTTCGGCCCACCCTCCAATGACAACTTTTTTTCGGATTCCAATGACAACCTCTTTTTAGATTCCAATAACCTCTTTCCAGATTCCAATAATTTATCCTCTCGTGATGGGACTTCATTACCCTTCCCTTCAATTATATTATTAATGGCATACTTTAAATAATACATTTTCTTACCCAACTCGTTATCTCTTATTCCCAACAAATATTTGTCCAATCCACCTTTTTGATCGATGGTTTTCAATACTCGAGGCGTACACCTGATCTCAAGTCGTCTATCTAATGCCTCCGAATACAATTTTACAGGATGCACATTCGGTTTCCATGTGCGTCGAGATTTGTTACCGAACTCGGAAATTTGATTACCGAATTGGATATGCGCACCAGCATAGAGACCTTTGTTTGCTTGCTTGTAGGTTCGTTGTTCCATGTAAGGTGGTTTCTCGCGAACCTTCTTTGGTTTTTTCTCTTTGATCACCGGAAGCTTTTGTTCTGGCTCGCGTATGGGATAAGCAAATTTCGCGCGAATACCACCCAACATTCCACGACGTACATGCTGTACCCTGAGTTGTTGCTTTAGGAGGTTGAGTGTCGGGTGCATACTTTAACGATAGATCTGGCTGATCTGAAATATATGTACGAAAAATTCCCGATTTTCATTCCCCTTTTGGAAGATGCAATGCATTTATTTCGTGCCAGTTTTAGATCAAGTGATTTTAATTAAAGATGGAACTAAATACACTTTATTTATATAAGAAATTTTTCAACTATATACAGTGTGGACTGACACTAAATTGTTTTTATTAAATAATTTTATTAAATGAATTATATTTGAAAATTATCAATATAAAGAATAATTTATTTATTTATTTTTTATAATTTAATTATACCAATATTTTTTAATAAATTTGTTTTTATATTTTTATTGATATATATATATTTAAATTTTTGTTTTAGACAAATTGTATTAAATAATTTCAGGATTTATTTTTAGTCCAAACTATATATACTATTGAAATTTATAGGTTATGGACACAATTGATACAATTATTTGATTCAATTAATCAAGTTACTATTAAAATATATAAAATAATTGAATCTATAACAAAATAATTTATATTATATATATAATTCAATAAAAATTAAATAGTTTGATTGGTTACAAGTAATAAGAAATAAATATAAATTCAAAAATAATTATAATAGTTTCTTTTTTATTTATTTTATGTTTATTATTATAATATATAAATTAATATATATTGGTTTTCTTTTTTTTTTTTTCATTTTTTTTCATTTTTTCACTTTATAGTTTTTTATAAAAAAAATAAATAAATTTGAAATTTATAATATATAATTATAAAAATAATTTGCAGATTTTGACTCTTAAAAAACTTGAAATTTTAATATTATTTAATAAACAAAATTATATCTAAAATTTTATATTATTGATCAATAGGCTTAATTAAAAAAGTTTATATACCTAATATAATTATTTTTTAAATTTTCTAATTTTAAGAAATTTTAATTGTATCTACTTTTTTAACCAATATACAAATTAAATGACAACAAAAAGATAAACAAATATAATTTTAAACATTTTTTTCAATATGTATTATAAAATAAATAATAAATTGATTAATAAAATAAGATTATTTTATTAAATTATTATTAATTGTTCATATTTAATATCTTTTTATTTCTGTTTTAAATTCAAATTTCTATTTATATATTATATGCATCAAAATTGTATAGTATCAATATATTTTATTTTTTAAATTGACATTCTTAATTTTAATGCTGTTTGTCTTTTGGATTTCCTTTATCATTGTTTTCCGATTGCTTCTCTTTAAATTATTCTCTTTTGAAACATCGCAGGATTCCATTTATTTCCCACCATGGTTTTTTTTCTCTTGATGAGTTTTTCTCATTTCTCATTTTCCCTTAAAATGTTTTATTTTTACAACACCAATAAAAACCTTAAAGGTAACGAAACCTTTTTGAAAAAAAATCATTTTGTGTAATTTGGGGATGATTTCTAAAAATGAATAAGTAAAAAATTTTTTCTTGATACGTGTTAGATAAAAGCCTGGTCACCATATTTAACACGACCGAACGGACAACAGAAGATGAAACAAAGTTGAATAAAAATTATAAAAAGTCATCTTCCTCATCAGTTATTAGAAATGCCCTATTGGACAACGAATCAATATCCATTGAAACGCTTGACTCCCTAATGTTATCGAAATTGACCGTTGCATTTCGTGCCTTCCTATTTTTCTTATTCCTACGATGAATTTTTTTTCAACAAGATTCAATTAATAAAATAAATTGGACTAAATGAATAGGAATGAAGGAAAATTTTCATACTTTCTCAACATCAAAATTATTCTTCCAAACTGTATCAGGTTTCTAGCAATTAATAGGACCAGATCAAATACCTCCTCTCCTTTGTGTGAACAGCCTCCTTTCAACAAAAAGATTAAGGTGGTTACACATAGAAAAACAAGAATTATGTCAGCTATGTTGAATATCGATTTCCAGAATAGCTATTTGAGACCGATAAAGCAAGGCGAGAGAGTATAAATTTAATAAATCTGAATATATAAATGAATTGAAAGTAGATCGGAAAATCCTACGGACCTTTCCTAAAGCTAGAAATCGAGTTATTACTTCCGCTATCATGACTGTGTTGATTATAACTTCAAGTACAATGAAACCTACAGTTTGACTATATTGAGGAAGAAGAATGATATTTATTTAAGGCTCAAGAAAAGAAAGAAAAAAAAAATGAATAAAAGTAAAATAGGATTTTACCATTCTTCTGTCAAAGACTGGTTAAGGCGTGGACACACGAAAAGGCTGGTTAGTTGATATACAAACAAATATTCAAAATTACGGGAGATGAAGCATACCAGTACAATAGGAACAATACTTAGTAAAGCCATTCCTAAATACAGCCATGAATAAAATCTTGAGTAAATGATGCGGTTCGCTACTCCATGAACAATTTCCGCTCGTGATAACGAATGTTGCGTGTGAGGATTACTTTGTATTTCCATTTTGTAGGCAAAACAAGGATATTAGAGAATGTTTTAAAAAGTGGTGACAAGTCCCTTGGTACGATGTATGGACTTTAGTTTTCAACTTACGGGCGTTCGGTTTGTTGACCGTTTCCAGGTATGAGAACGGTGACATCGGTAGTTGACATTATGTAAAGGTTGGTGAATCAAAGAATGAGTGAAAAAAGAATAGAAAGAGATATTGATTGGAACTTTGATGATATGAAGTGTGCAAAAGAATGGATTTATTATTTAAATAACGTATGACAGCGTCTTATATGCGGATGAAATTTCCCGGCATTGTCAGATCTGCACGCGCATTTTATTTACTTCATGTATTCTGCATGAAGCATACACTATAAATTTAGGTTTAAGCACAAGTATTATTTTGAATCTTGTCTAAAAATTGAAGTACACACGATCTTCAGCAAAACTAGCCAGGTCATTTAATAGGCGCTGTCAATATGTGCTTGTCAACGAATTCTCTTGCGGCAAAATCACCCTTATTTTAATAGTAGAAAAAGATTAGTCGGTCGTCTGATTATCCCAAATTATTATTATTATTACTATTATTTTACCTGATCATGATATATCGCTCCGACTAAAGCTTGAAGAGCTCTTCCGGTAACAGTTTCTATGCCCTTGGGCTTCAATCCATGTCCTTCCTGATTTGCCGTTTCTACTTCTTTTGCATTGGTCTATCATCATCAAGAGAAAAATTCCATTATTCATATGAATCGCGATCGTAATTGAATTACAGATGGTTGATTGATTACTCGTCACACGTACCGGCGTCCAATACAACAATTCGTCTAACCCCATCTTCCTGCCTATTATACCCAAGTTGTCCGAGTGCTTCGTGTATAGATCAACTTTTTCATGCAATTCCTCCGGTGGCACTCTGCCTACGAAAAATTCTGCGGCAAAAAGTTGGATTGCTTTTTGCCCTATAAATGAAGTTAATAATAATAATACTTTGGCGATTAGGTCTAACCGATGTACTTATTACGACGCCAATAAAATAATCTATACCTAAATAATCTAATCTTTCATTTGTCGGCGCCGTGTTAGAGATAACAGATTTGTGGGTACAAACTTGATGTATCAAATCTTCATTAGAAAATTTTATTCCGTATTTTTTGCAGAATTTCAAATGTTTATCCTCTTTTTTGGTCGCTGAGACGGGTACCGCGCGCCGTAAATTTGTCTTCGAATGGAAACGCGTTTTCGCTATTTCTGAAGAAACCAGATTATTACCATAGTAAAGTAGCGTCCTCTGTGAGAGAAGCCGTCTCGTCGAGAAGTTGAAGAACGAAACCCGCATCACCAGATCTACGCAACGTAATCGGCGAATCAGATTTCATGTAACCAACAATAATAAATTTAGATATTCGATTGTTCTGCGATCGCGATTTTTTTTTTTTTATGGTAGATCGTCTAATACGAATTTGAAATATTTAAAATGTTCATTGCCTATTTTCTTTGTTTATGATTCAGCCTAAATCGTAGGTTTAAAGTGGATGTCAAACTAAAGAAGGTATGACTCCTGCATTAACGTGCAAGAGTTAATTTTAATATCCCGATTGTCGAATTCGCCGGTATGCGTTTACGCGATTATACATAATGTGCAAGTGGGAGAGGTCCCGCCTCAATTTTTTATTAAATTAAGTCTATTTTACAGAAAATCTATGATTTCTATTATGTCTATTATGGAACATCTGGAATATTTCTATTATCAGGGAATATGCGTAAAGCCATCTCATGTTAACTTTTGATGATTTTAAGCTTCGAGCAAACATCCGAAAGAAACCTGTCGTTCTCCACTTTCGAAACAGTGTATGAAATATTATCGTGTTACCGGAAATTTTCCGCTGAGAGCTCGGTGCGCTCAGTCGAAGAATCACCTCGATTATTTTTTTTTTTCTTCGATAGGTGACAGAAGGTGACAGGCGGAAAATTTCCGATCGTACACTGATTCGGAATATGTTGACTAACGCATTCCCTAGAAGAAGTGTTATACAAGGATGATTCAACATCTGACAACACAGAAACACCATGATTCCTATCGTTAAGGGAAAGGTGTCAAAAAGAGAAAGTTTGGTTAGTGTCGGCTGACTTTTCACGTTGTATTTATTGAACTTTACTATTCCCTCACTTTGAAGCCTGACATGCAGCCGGATCAGCCCGGATCAATAAATTTCGAGTTCAAATGCAGTGTCTGCTATTTGTTCAGGCTGATCAGGCTGCATGTCATGGCTTCATGTGAGGAACGCTCATCGAACCAGAAGAAGTAACACTTTGTATAAAGTTGCAGACGAAAATGTTTGTTTCTTAATTTATTTTCATTCCAATTTTGAAAAAATCGAATTTTCATATGCCGTAACTACTTAAAACCCTAATAAAAGAAATCTAGAAAAAAAATACAAGTAAAAAAAAAATACACACGTACAAATTTGAAAGAATTATGAAGTGGGACAATGTACTAATAATGACAATAAGGCTAAACTACTATTGACGGAAGCCTGATAATCACAACCCTCGCCGATCGTTATTTACCCGCATGCTTGGGCTTTTTTTTTTTTTTTAAAGAAATAATGCTTTTGAGATTTAATGAACCAATGGGACTATTGTTTTGTTTCTACCCTGGCGTTTATTTACGCATATTACTCTTACCGAACGGGGAGTCGGATCTAGTGGGAATGATGGATTCAAAAGTTAAATGCAAGAACTTTGGTTTTTTAAAGCACGACAACTATTCCAAATGATGTATATTAATCGTACCCGCTGACATCAACGCCACCACGGAGGGGCTTTACGATACGGGATAAGGAATTCACAGCAAATGGATTTGCTGCTGATTTTTGAGCTGAGGGGAAGGATATGATAAATTCGTTACAAATAGTTGAAAAACATAAAATCTTCAAAATGAGATCACACCGAAAAAAAAACTTACATCTGGCCTGTTCTAATCGTTCTCGAACGGCTTGTAGTTGTGCCTCGAATCTGGGTGTGAAATAATAATTGGTTGAGAGAATTGAAGTAAACTATTTTTTTAAAATAAATCCTTGTTATGCTTACTTTTGATTCTGTGAGGTAAGCTTCTCTTGTGCATCTTGTAGTAAGGCTTCCAGAGCCTGGATACGTTCGTTTCGGGCGAGAAGTTTTCGCTCGGCAATTGCTACTTCCTTCTTTAATGACGCATTCTGATCGACGAGCTTTGATGAGGTGGGAAAAAACCGTTGATTAGATGAATCATCACAGCAAGTCACCTTCAATAGATGCGCATATATTATTATTGATAGTTACTTGTTTCTGCACGTTCGTCAGTTGCTCCAGATTTCTCTCTAGGAATGCCATCTTCTTCTGTTGTGCTTTATTATTATTATTACGTAGTACATTGTTGTATTGCTCTCTCGTTTCATCTAATGAGATCTCAAGCTCGACCACTTTTTCACATCGGTTCTGCAGATCGCGCATGAGTGCTTTCTTCATAACATCAAAATCGGCCAATTGTTGTGCCATGGTCTTACGAATTCGTTCCATGTCCTTTTCTTTCTCTGCAACATTTTTCTGAGATTCGGATCTAGCATCCCTTTCAGTAAGAACGTTCTGCATTTGTGAGGGGAGAGTTCAAGCGTTAGTAGATAAATAAAACATGCATAATTTCATTGAAGATTCTTTGAGTTTTAAACCTGGTGTACGACCTTTACCTGCAATTCTTCATTTGCTCTCTTCAATTCAGCGAGAGCGCTTTTCATGATTAGATGGAAGTGAGTCAAGGAGACTTGGAAAAACTGACATTGAATATTTACAAAACATACTTGTTAAGTTTGTACAGCTCTTCGTTCTTCTTTTCTAGTTCCTGTTTTAACTCATCGATCTCTTTTTGCTGTACTTCCTTCTTTGCGACAAATTGAGCTTCTAATTTGCTCTAAATTGATATGAAAAACATGATCAGCAACCGAAGAGGACTACGTTTATTTCACATTCCTTTATTTTTAATAAAAATGACTCACTCTCAGCTCCGCTATCGTTTCTGTGATATCAATGTTGCTGTTAGCCTCCTCTTCGGCAATCGTCTTGTCTACATAAAGCGAAAAAAATAATAATTAATAATTAGAAGATGCTAAAAAGAAAAAACCAAAAGAAACATCAGATAACCCTTACCCAGTAATTCTTCATATTCAAGCTCTAGGGCGTTCAATCTTATCTCAAGTTCATCTCTCTTCTTTGTCAAATGTTCATTTTCGTGATGCAACTCGTTGATGGTTTGTTCGTGTGTAGAGACCAATGACTTCGATTCTGCCAACTCGCGGCGTACTGTCGCAAGCTCTTCCATTGTAAGCGAAGTACTACCTTCACTGTCAATTGACTCCAATTTGAGTAAAGTGTCACGAATTTGTTTTTCCTTGGCGGAGATCACACCCGAGGGATCAAGCTCCGCAAACATTTGAGCCATCTTCTCTTGTTTCTTTTGTTCTTTATCACCTTCCTTTTGTGCGGCTCTAAGTTCCGCGAGGGATTTCTGTTTCGTGAAATGAAATGGCATCAATAACGACCCAAAAGTTAAGCATGCTTTCGTAGAATGCCAGCATACACATACCTTGAGCGATTCCAGTTCATTGGTCAATTCCAAATTGGCTTCCCGTAGTGTATCAATGGTTATGGCACCCTCTTTGTTATCATAGTTAACTTTTTCCAATTGAACTTTGAGATTATTAATCTCGGCTGCCATTTGTTTATTTTC